CTCTCCTAAGGTTTCGGTTTAGCAGCTGGCCAGGTGTGCAGTCATCTGAAGTCTTGACTGGGGCTAGAGGATCCGCTTGCAAGCTCACTGATGCAGCTGTCTGTGGGGGCCTTTCTGTAAGGCTGCTCAAGCCAAAGTAGCTGGCTCCCTCCAGAGCAAGTGATCAGCAGAGGAAGGGAAAGCGAGAGAGAGAACAAGTGCTCTACGGAAGCTACGGTACCTTTTACGACCTAGCCTTGAAAGTTGCACAACACTCCTGCTTTATTCTGCTCATTAGAACGGAGTCACTAAGTCCAGCTCACACCCAAAAGGGAAAAAAAATTAAGCTCTACTTCTCGAAGGGAAGCGTGTCAGGAATTTGGGAACATATTTTCTAAACACCACAATGATTATGGAAAATAAAATTGTAAGCAAGCATGACTTCTAAACCAAAAGGCAGGGGATTTGCTGCATGTTCTCCTTGTTGCAGATAAGGCCACCAATTTCCCAGATGGGACACATAGACCTAGTGACCTTTGCTTAACAAAAATAGACAATTACCATGACCTATTAATCTTGTCTGCTTTCCTGGAAAGGAAAATGGTTGCAGACCTCATGTGGGAATATTTTTCAAGAGTTTCCCTTAGCAGATTGTTGTAAGGATTAACTGAGATAATGAATGGAGTGTCTGACCCCTAAAAAGTGTTCGCTAAATGGTAGCTGTCATCCTTTCACCAAGACTTACTGACTCTGCCTCTGACATCTCTGCATCTCCTCATCTTGCCTCCTTTCCCACCTGTCCTTGACTTCATCTGCACGACCGCAATGGAATCCATTTCCCTCGTTTTCAGCCTCCCTGACATCTTCTTTGCTTTATGCATGTTTTTCTTTAAATCTTAGTTATAACCTATGTTTTATAGAAGCTCCATTCATTTACTGAACCAATCTACTAAGCTCCTGACACTCCTGAGACAGTGAAACTCTGAACCAATTTGACTGTTTGTGTGGTGGGAGACAGTTAAGGGGAAAACAAGGATGAGAGAGAGATAAAAATGTCATCCAGCCACAGTGGAAAAATTGTACTGGCATGGTTTCATGCAGAATGGAGAGAGGGGAATTGATGTTAAAAATGAGCTTCCCTGTCAACTTAAACAGACACCTTATTCTGGTTTGATGAAACATTGAATCATCCCATCTTTGGCAATATTTTCATAGGTCATTGAGTCTGTAGTTCATATTCTAGTTCTGAGTCTAGCATTGACATCTGCTTGAGTATTTTAGCAATTAAGCTAGTGCTCTACACAAAATTTCCTTCCAAGAAAGATTTTTGAAGTCTAGTTAGAACTCCTGGGTGATCTATTGTGTTCATATCAGGGTAACATAGCTCTTCGATGTACATGCATTGGGTTATAAAATGCTGTGTAAATGTCGAGTGCCAAGATTCATTGCTAGTATATTTTTCTGTGCATGACACAGGCACAGAAAGTTTTTTAGTCAGTGAGGTGAAACAATGGTGGGCCTTCAAGGGATCATCACTCTTTTAATTCCAATCCTTTCCCACTAGCCAGCTTATGGATAGATTTTCTAAGGAATTAATGATTAATAGCTGCCAACCCAGGATCTCCCAGACTCATTTTTTTTTTTTTTTTTTTTTTTTTTT